TGGCCTGGAACTCAATATGTAGAACAGGCTGGCCTTGAACTCACAGAGATCAGCCTACCTCTGCCTCCCGAATGCTAGGATTAAAGGTGTGGGCCACCACACCCGGCCTTTAATAAATTTTTTTTTTTTTTGAGACAGGGTCTCCCTGTAGCCCCAGCTGTCCTGGAACTCACTATGTAGACCAGGCTGGCCTTGAACTCACAAAGATCTGCCTGCCTCTGCCTCTCAAGTGCTGGGCTTAAAGGCGTGTGCCACCATGCCCAGCCCAATAAAATATTTTTTAAAAAAGAATGTGCCTTCAGGTAACAGTGCTATTACAGAAATTTTTAAATTATTTATTTATTTACTTATTTATTTTTATTTTATGTGTGTGAGTGCTTTACCTGCATGTATGTAAGTACACTGGTGTCGTGAAAAGCCTGCAGAGGCCGGAAGAGGAGGTTAGATCCCCTGGAACTGTAGTTATGGATGGTTGTAGCTGCCATGTAGGTGTTAAGAACTGAACCCAGGTCCTCTGCAAGAACAGCCTGTGCCCTTGACTGATGAGCCATCTCCCTAGCCCCGCGATGTTGAGATTTTTAACTTTAATACTTCTACATCTTGTTTAAGAACTCTTTTCCTGGCCCAAAGACAAAATTAGCCACATACGTATTCTGCTTTTAAAAGCTTTAGAGATTTTTTTTTCCTGGCATTTAAGTCCTCAAACTTTCCGTAATTGGTTTTGTATATAACATGCCAATCAAGTAATTTTTACAAATAAAGGAACAATCAGCATATTCTAAAGCATCCAGAGATGGCACACTACCTGGAAAGTAATCCTTCTGCAATTCTTCCAGACGCTTCAAGTTCGTCAGAGTGCACACAGTCCGGCTTCGGGGTGTGCCCTTTAACATACTCCGTGCAAGGACCATCTGAGGACACCTGGAAAGCTCTTAGGAAATCAGAAACAGGGTTGAATGAATATCTGAAAGCCAGGCCCCGCCTCGGAGTTGAGCTGTGTTAAACTCAAAGCTGTGACCCACAGAGGCTTGCATGTTTTGCACAGGTCAGCTGAGGAAATCCTATTGAGGTTAGGGAGCGTGGTGCAGCACAACAGCTTCTAACATTTAATCACATTGAAGCAAAGTTGTTATATTGTTAGACTGCTATTTTCAGCATATGTGAGTAGAAGCTGTGAAGGTCGATGAATAGAGAATCCTGAGCAGATTCTGAAATGGACTTTTTTCAACTTTTGAAGTTACCGTTGGTTTTCTTTCATATAATTTCACCTTAATCTTTCCTTTTACAAAGAAACACTACTCTCTAGTTTATCGGTTATGGTTAATATCACATGTTGGCTCCCAAAAAGGAAAAATAGAAAAGTCAGGATGCATATACATATATATATATATATATATATATATATTTACCTTAATTTGACCATTACATAATGTACACATATCAAAACACCACAGGGTACATTCACATGTGCTGATATTAAAAGTAAAATAAGATGGAAGTGAGGCAAGTGGAAAGAGAATACTTACTCTAGGAACAGTTAAGAATAGGAGTCCCTGAGCCGGGCGTGGTGGTGCACACCTGTAGTCCCAGCACTTGGGAGGCGGAGGCAGGCAGATCTCTGTGAGTTCAAGGCCAGCCTGGTCTACATAGTGATTTCCAGGACATCTGGGGCTTACAGGGAGACCCTGCTTCAAAAAGACCAAAAAAACAAACAAACAAAAAAAGGAGTCCCTAATGACTTATTTACCCATAGATGAATGCATCTCTCAACTCTTAACAGAGAAGTTTCCTTATGCAGCAGATGGTGATTAACACAGAAGCCCACTTTGGCCAATGTGCAGAGAACAAGAGACTATAGACTGTTTGTCTCTGACTAGGACACCTATCTCAAATTCCTGCCTCCCAAGGCTCAAGGATCATTGTGGAAGAGGGGATGAAAAGATTGTAAGACCCAGAGGTCGTGGATGATCACAAGGAAATAGTCTTCCAGACAGCTGGTCAGTTACTCATGTGAACTCACAGCAACGGTGGCAGCATGCATATGTCCCATGCAAGCTCAAACCAGACAAAATCCTGGCATGGAAAATGGAAAGTGGGTAAGAAACCCCATCCCAACCCCAACCTAAGGAATTTTTGGCAGAAGAAAGAACACATCTGTCCAGGTAGAAAAGTGGTTTCCTGAATACCTAAATGCAAACTCATAATCAGAAAGGAAGAAACTTTAATGTGAATATAAGGAACAAGGTGTCGTGTGGTAGTTCACACCTGTTGCCCCAGCACTCTGGAAGACTGAGGCAGGGGGATTTTGAATTTGAAGCTAGCCTGGCCTACATTTTCTTAAACAAATATGCAAAAAGAAAGGAAAAGGAAAAGAAAAGAAAAAATTATGAAAATAGAAATAATTAGTTCAGGGAGCTGGGAAGATGACTCAGTGGTTAAGAGCACTGGCTGCTCTTGCAAAGGACCCAGGTACAGTTCCCAGCACCCACATGGTGACTAACAACCATCCCTAACTCCAGTTCCAGGGAATCCGACGCCCTCTTCCGGCTTCCATGAGCATTGCATGATATGAGTGTACCTACATACATGCAGGTAAAACACTCATAGACCTAAAAATAAATCAATCAAAGAAGTTTTAAAGAAATAACTAGTTCAGGCTGCTCCTATGTAAATCTCTAATGGGCCTTTCCTGCTGATGAACAAGTAATATTCATAATGGGTAGAGGTATAGAAAGGCGGTGACCCACCATCTATCCCCAAATTCCAAAGAATATTATATCTCCCTTTCCTCTCTACCCCACCCCCACCCCCAGAGGACACTGCAATCATTTTGGTCTCCTTCCTGACCTGGGTCGGTTTCCATCATCCAAGCTGCCCAGTCCTTTGTGGCTAGCTACTTCATTTGGTTCTCTTTCATCTCCCAAGAACTGGGTGCTTTGGCAAAGGCTGCACAGCAGAATTGTTCCACCTTGATGGCACAGACGTATCCACGGAGGACGCCCTTATCATATACTTCAAGGAATTTGAGGACATATTGTACTCTATAGTTCTGTGCACAGAAGTGATGGACAGGCATCTTCCTGATACAGCAGTCAATGGAAACCCGCAAGGTATGGAGATTTACTTTCTCTTTTTCGCATCCAATGACTTGATGGGTCTCATCATGCACACCAAAAAACACATATCCTCCTTCAGTATTGGCAAGTGCAGAAACATACTTGGGGAGGCTCTCTTTAATACCCTGGGTCAGGTCCGCTGAGAACATTTGAAATACAACATGCAGGGACTCAGAGAAGTTGAGTTTTTCCAGGTACTGAAGCTTCCCTCTATCAAATAAATCATCAGCTAAGGCCCTCATGTTACCTTCAGCCTGAGCTTCCCGTGGACTTAACGAGTTTGGATAGTCATCCTTCCTAAGAACCCGAACCCGTCTTTGGAGGAATCTCAGGGCATCTAAAGAATCCATGATGCCGGTAGATGTTCCATGTCTAAGGTATAAATTGGAACACAGGGTAGCAAGTCGCACACCGGAGACCTCCGCATTCCATGAATTCACAAATATTAAAAAGCGGTTTCCCTGCTGCATGTCATCTAAATGGTTTCTGAACATGGCAGGCAGATCCAGTCCTAGTCCATCACCCTCATGATTGTAGTCTTCATTCTCAATCTCCACCACGATCACTCCCCCACCAGAGTTCAGCAGAGCACATATTGCTTGCAAGATGAATTCATTCTGTTTTGTCCGCAGTAGAGGGTCCATTTCCATCCTTTGCCTAACTCCAAGGGTGGCTTTTTCTCCATTTATGATGCACTCAGCAAAGTTCAATTCCAAATCCACTTGGAAACTCATCTTCTCAGCCCTTAGACGAAATGTTCTCCTAAAAGTCAGACAGACAGAACCATTAGACTAGACAAGAATGAGCTGGAGGAGACGTTGAAGAGCACTTGCTCCCACATAGCTTATGGCCAGATTTGTTCGTCAAAGAAGTGTGAGGGACTCATGAAAGAGCTAAGTTTGCTGGATGCCCACTGCCACCACAGAACTGATCAAGAAGCAGCTCTTATGCCATGGTTTTATTTATTTATTCTAGTGTTTTTGAGACAGGGCCTCCCTGTAACCCCAGCTTGTCTGGAACTCACTATGTAGAACAAGGCTGGCCTTGAACTCACAGAGATCCACCTGCCTCTGCCTCCCAAGTTCTGAGATTAAATGTGTGCACCACCACACCCGGCTGGTTTTATTTTTTTAATTCTTCTGTAAGCTTTGTGTGTGTGTGTGTGTGTGTGTGTGTGTGTGTGTGTGTGTGTGTTACAGCATGAACGTATGTAAGAGGACAGTCAGTTCTATCCTGCCACCTTGTATGATCCCAGGATGAACTCAGGTCATCAGACCTGTGTGCAAGCACCTCTACCCATTGATCCATCTCACCAGCCCTGCTGCTGAGATTTTAGTAACTATTTTGGGCATGTTCTCTGAGTGGCAAAGTCTCTCAAGTCATCTGCAAAAAGCAGGAAATTTTACAACAGTGCTCTCATAGACTAGAGCTAGGCTACAATTAACACTTCCTTGGTCAAAAGGAGTCTAGAGTGTGCTGCTGCTTATTTTCTTGATTCTTTGTCTTCCTCCACTGACTGACACCTGTGAAATTCTCATTTTTTTTAGTATGATCTGATTGCAACAGTAATTTATCACTCTTGCTTTTGAACAGATCCTTCAGCATCCCCTGATCCATCATGTCACATAAGTTAGACACACGCATGCACACACGCACGCATGCAGAATATGCCATGCAGTACAAACCTGACAAGGAAGGTTGAGACATAGTCTGCAGCTACACATGTTGTACATTACTGGCAGAAGTTGGAGTTCTCTAAATTAGGAAGAAAATCAATGACTTTTTGGAATACTAAGGATGGCAGCTGGGCTAGACTTTAGACATTTAGGATGGTGTATGAATTACACACATAGAAGAAGCAGTATCTTTTCTAGGTGAACAGAGCATCCAGACAACCATCAGTAGGAATAAAATGTCGCAGACTTCACATCTCATGTCTCCAATCTTACAGAGGGCCACCTTTGAACCCAGACCCAATAATCTGTATCCCCTAGCAGGCTGAAAACCAGATATAAGACTCAGGACAAAAACTCAACACGGAAAGAGAGACATATTTGGTTTTATTGGTGACCCATGAAGCTTTGTCTAAATGGACATTAGTTCTGGGAAAACTTCAAATTCCCTAGTCTTAGAGGCCATCCTTAGCAAGCTTACAAGGCTTTTGCTTAAATTCTGCCCTGCAGCTCTCATTGCTCTAAGCAACACAAAAGAGGAAAAGGGGTAAAAGGGAAAAGATTGACTCCACCAAGAATACCACATGCATGAGAATCAATATCAAAACTCAGGATGCTCCAAAGCTGAGTAGTCAGTGCAAAGAAAGAGACTTCAGAGCCAGTGCTGACGTGCAAATCAGTGCAGACTCAGCAAGCCTCTAACAACATGGCACAAGAGGCCTCTGTAGGCACTAACACCCCCTCAAAGGCTGAGATATACTGCAGCGAGCGGTACCCAGGATGTCTTGTTGGAGCCTCCAGGAAAATTATGGACATTAATGAAGACCACCCACATGAGAACAGAGGTTCTTTTTCAGAGCTCACTATAACAACGGAATCAGCCGCCATCATTTACATTTGGCTGAGACTCAATGACAAGCAGTGGCAAAGCTTTTTAACAAAAAAGGAAGGCTTGGGTATGGTCTGACTGAGACAATTGTCAAGGAGGAAACAGGCAAGCTAACTAGAAATGGAGCATCCTGCATGATTAGTTCATGGAACACATTTAGCTTTCTAGTTGGAAGTGGAGGCAAAAATTAGGGATATTTTCAGTTATTAGCCAAGCCCTGACATTCTGACCAAGCTCCAGGAGTTATGAGTTGTGGTTTGGTTTCTGGTTGCTACAGAGGATGTGTGTGTGTGTGTGTGTGTGTGTGTGTGTGTGTGTGTGTGTGTGTGTGTGTGTGTGTGTGTGTGTGTGTGTGTTTTATTTTCAATTTCTGGAGGAAAATACTAGTAAAAACATTTTCTTCCTTTCGGTTTGGGGGGTTTTTTGTTGTTGTTTTTGAGTCAGGGTCTCCCTGTTGCCCAGGTGGCCTGTCTCTACCTCCTAAGTGTTGGAATTAAAGGTGTAAACCACCGCTCCCAGCTTCAAAAACACTTTTTACCTTGAGTTAGGCAGACATTTCTTAGAGATGACACTAAATGCATAATACAGAAAGAAAACATTGACATACTGAGCTCTAAGAATTTCCCTTCTTTGAAAGATATTGTTGAGAACTGAAATATAAGCTCCTGATTTGAAGAAAATGTTTGCAAATTATAGATCAATGAAGAATTTATATCCAAATTACAAATAGAACATGGAAAAAGTAATCAGAAAACAGGAGCTAAGGTGCAGGTCAGTGGCAGAATACTTGTCTAAGATGTAGGAGGCACAAAAGGACTAAATAAAACAGGAAGTTGGCATGGTGATGTACACCTGCAATTCTAGTGCTCAGTGGAAGCAGGAGGATTATGATGCTTAGGGTAGGCTGGGATACATAGTGAGAGCCTGTCTAAAGAAAAAGAGATGGGGAGAGGGAGAGGAAAGAAGGAAGGAAACTAATTTAAAAATGAAAAAGGGCTGGAGCGTGGTGGTGCACGCCTTTAATCCCAGCACTTGGGAGACAGAGGCAGGTGGATCTCTGTGAGTTCAGTTTGAGGCCAGCCTGGTCGACATAGAGAGTTCCAGGACAGCTGGGGCTACAGGGAGACCCTGTTTCAAAAGGAAAAAAAAAAAAAAAAAAAAAGAAAGAAAGAAAAAAGAAAAAGGAGTTGAAAAAACTTCATCAAGGAAAATATCTAAATATCACATATTGTTGCCCCCTTGTATCTGCAGATCCTGCTTCTGTATATCTAACCGCAAACTGAAAATATTTGAAAAAAAATTGCATCTGCACTGAATGTAAACAGATTTTTTTTCCTTATTATTCCCTAAGCAACACAGTGTAACAGCTGTTTACATAGTATTATATTGTGATAAGTATTACAGGTGATCTAGAGATTATGTCAAGCATACAGGAGGATGTGGGCAAGTTATATACAAGTGTTCTATAGAGGCTTTGAGCATCCTCAGATCTTGGCATTCATGAAGGGTCTTACCCAGTCCTACTGACACTGAGGGATGGATGTATGCATATGAAATGATGTTCAGAAGCATTAGCCATCAGGGAGATGCCAATTAAAACTACAGTGGGTACTGGGGATGCAGCTCAGTGGTAGAGTGCATGCTTCACAAGCAGCAAGCACAAGACCTTCATTCAATCTCCAGAACTACCAAAAGGGGTGGGGGGAACTATCATGAGATACCACTACACAGCTAGTAGGTAGCTGCCTCTGATCATTCAGTGGTTGGTGAGACTGTGAAAGGAGGGAATTCTTGTGCACTCTAGCTAGGAAGAAGCACAATCATTTTAGAAAAGAATTTAGTAATTTTTAAAAATTTAGTAATTTTAGTAATTTTAAAGAATTTAGTAATTTTAAAAAATATACATTTACCATCGCTTACCCAAGAGAAAAAAAGCATATGTTCATAAAATAATTTGTCATGGAATGCTCATAAAATTTTTAGTTATAAAAGTTATAAACTGGAAAGTTATAAAAGTTATAAACTGGAAACAACCCAAATGCCCATCAACAGATGAAGAAAGAAGCCAGTTTTGGTTGTCTGTGCAGTGGAATAAAGGAACTAGCAGCTCTGACTAACACGGATGAACCTCAAAGCAATGCGCTGACTGAAAGAAGACAGAAAAGGAGTATTTGTCTAAGGATTCCATTCATTCAAAAGCTTGGAAAGTACAACTAATGTATGATGTGAGAAGCCTATTTGTTGCTCCTTGGTTGGGGAAGGAGTGGGGTATAAAGACAGAAGGAAACTTTGGAGGTTATGTACATGTTTCGTGTCTTCGTATCCATGGTAGCTTCTCGTTTATCAAATTTTATCAAATGGGAACTAGGAAGATGGTTCAACAGTTAAAAGGACTTGCTGCTCTTACAGAGGATCCAGGTTCGGTTCCAGTATCCACATGACAGCTAACAATCACCTGTTACTCCAGTTCAGAGGATCCAACACTTTCTTCTGGCTTCCACCTGCACCAGGAATGAATGTGGTACACATACATACATGCAAGCAAACACTCATACACGCAAAACAAATCTTTTTTAGCTGGGCGTGGTGGCACACACCTTTAGTCCCAGCACTCAGGAAGCAGAGGCAGGCGGATCTCTGTGAGTTCAAGGCCAGCCTGGTCTACAAAGCAAGTTCCAGGTCAGCTGGGGCTACAGGGAGACCCTGTCTCAAAAAGACCAAAAAAAAGTTTATCAAACTGTAGACTTCAGATAGGTGCAGCATTTGTGTGTCAGTAATGTCTCAATAAATCTATTTAAAATTATACACATAAATTATCTTGAAAACATAAACCTAAAATATTTCATTGTACTATCATGAGCTCAAAACCAACCAGGAGACTCATGTGTCTGCTGAGTTTGTCCCATAGAAACTAAATCTATGATAAGATTAATGGCATACTGTACTTTGAAACTTTTAAATGCCTCCTATCTTTGGTAATGACCTTTTTCCTTGCATGTTGTGAGACAAAGGCCCCTTTCGGTGGAAATCCAGTGTATAGTGTGGAAAATAGCAGGCTTTCCTAGCAAGAAAATCAGTCAAGCAAAATAAGAGGTGTTCTCTTTCCCCTTGCAGTTGCAGAAAAGCAGGAAGCAGCACATAAAATTTCTGTGTCGTTTTGTTTTCACTAACA